TAGAATAAGCATACCCTGAAGAAGAAAGTGTATTGAGAAAATTTTGATGTTTAATTCATTAAAATGCATTTTTATCATGTCTAAGATAGTCAAAATTCGAGAAAATTACTGCAAGAAAACAGGACACATCTCATAATCTAAAAGTCATTTGGCAACATAAACTACTTTATACTTAAGAAGAAACATAGTACTATTACTGTGTGAAAAAGAAAAAATATNGACCACGGTGCGGTTTCCCACCTCCCTTGCAATCACCATAGCTGACCATAGCGGCCTCCTGCAGCGTCGTTATAATTCCAATATAGAGAGAGTCTATCGCGGCCAAGTGTGACGTATCACTATTATTGCACATATAGTCACCGCACTGATGGAACTCATGTGGAAAGCCAACGTGTCGCAGCTTATTATTACAATATTTTGTATATATTTCTATTTGACTAAGGTCCTTATCCCCCCAGAGAACCTTATTTATTTTAGCACGCGGCAGCTCAACAGTTTGGCAAATAGATTGTAGGTTACAACGTATCTCTAGCGGGAAATGATCTGACCAGAAAACATCACAATGTACTTCTACTGACTGTACCGTACTCCGAGCAGCCTCTGTAACAACACAGTGATCAAGCCATCTGTGGCTGCCGTGTGCTTCACTGACAAATGTGTGAGTATTAGAGTTTAGACCCAACATTTGGATATCAACACATGACCAGTTTTGCTCATTACAAAAGTCTAGAAGCTCATTACAAAAGAGTTCCCCCGGGTGAGCATTAAAATCTCCCAAAATGTATACAGTTTCAATATTACAATCCTCAACAATTGATATAATTTCACTCAAACATTGAACGTACTCTAAAAGATTGTCAGATGAGTCCGTAGGCATATAAACAGTAAAAACGAGCACAGACCGGTCCAATGCACAGACCTTAATAGCACTAATTCGATTACTTTCACACGGAATCACTGTCACGCACTTAAACTTACTGTTTCTCCATAAGAGTGCCACCCCACCGTACGGCCGCCCACGAAGTATCCCGCTCGACGTGTCAACAGCCGATTTCCCGCAAAAACCGAAGTCCTTACTAGTTTTACCTAGTTCCGGTATCTCGTGCGGCAAGAGCCAGGTCTCTTGCAGTGCAATAATGTCAGCACTTTGACAAAGCACTCTTACAGAGTCTATAGATCTCTTGAAGGATTTGCAATTAAAACTAATTAATTTGAGACTTACATTGTTTGTTGTACTAACCATTCAAATTAATAAATTGCACCAGTATCAGACCTTCTTTGTCTGTCAGAGGCTCTCTTGCCAAATTCAATAAAACGTCGGAATTTTATGCCGTCAGGCCACAGGTTACAGTCCAGAAACAAACTCAGCTTATGTCTTGGTACAAACATTTTATATGAGTTGTATTCTCTCTGCTGTTTAGAATTAATCTTTTGCAATGACACTTCCACCTCAGTTCTGTTTTTTATATAAGATATTATATCTTTTTCACAAGTTTCCTGGTGCACATTATTTATAAAAATAGCCACACTGGAATTTGCAGCCTTAAAATTTCCTTCAATTATGGTACAAGTTCCTTTTTTACCTAAAAATCTATTTTGTCGTCTCTTTCTTTGTACAGTTTGCCAGCCTTCTTCATGCCTTATCGGTGCATTTTGTATTTGCGGCGATTGTACTAGCTGATCGTTAGCGACGACCCGTACGGAGGCATTAGTCATCGGGGCAGTTGAGGCGCCGTTCATTTGTACCGCGGTTTCGACGGTGGAAACCGCAGTAGGTTCCTCCACGCGCACACTGTTCGGGCTCGCGGCGACAGCTAGATTGCCGCCTGACTGCGCGTGCGACAGGGACAGTGAGTGATCCGCCTGCGCAATACACCCGGCCGCTTTATCAGTAACGGTCGAGTTTTTGTTTACGTTCACCGTCTCCTCTTGGGTAAAGTGTATGAATCCTGACGGGCCACTGTCACAGTTATATTCGGAGTTATCAAATACGTGGTTTGTGCCTCGCTTCATATTAATAAAGTTATTATCATTATTATGCCCGAAGTTGTTGACTATGGAGGTTTGTTGCAAATTTATGACTTCATTTTTTAATTTTAAAAATTGGTCTATAGGTGTGTAAGTATCCAAGATAGTTTCAACTTCATGTTTGAGTACAATAATATCTTTCAACAGTCGTGTAACATCCAGATGATCGAAAGTGACTGGGGGTAGTTTGTGTAGGTCACGAGCGACAAAGATCGGCATTTCTTCAGGATCTTGTTGTTTAATCAATGAAATTATGTCTTCTAATTCACGTTGAGATTTGCCTTCCCTTTTTCGCTTCACTTGCCTTTTCGATGTCTTTACTGATGTAAACAATAGATTTTTTGCTGCACTTATGTCTTCTGGCTTAAAAGCAGTAATACACAATCTAATCATTGCATCTTCGTCCATCACATCACACTTGTTCTGTATAAATGCCAGAACCTCGCTAATTACTAGATTACAGTTCGCGCACTTTAACATTTTAGAGGTCGTTGAACCGTCCATTTCGAACGCTCTAACGAACGTTCGGCGTACGCTCGCTACGAAGCGCCGTCCGCGACTGACATAAATTTGTTGTAATATTAGTTCAAAGTTGTGCCTTCGCGAGTTACCTGGAAATCGGGCTTTCGAAATTCGCTGTTTTCGTAGGAAAAAATCCAATTTGAACGAGATTTTGTCAATAGAAATTCCGTAAAAACGTATGATAATTACGATGATATAAGTCAAAAGAAGCTATAACAATAAATTATATGACTAAAATCATTTCGAAATCTGCCAAATTCTCGATTTCTGCATGAAAAATGTGACAGCGCTCTTAAGGTTTTCGAAGAGCTTGTATTTATATGTCTTCGTCTTCTTCGTTTCAGCCAAATGACGTCCACTGCTGGACAAAGGCCTCCCCCAAGGTTTTCCACAATGAACGGTCCTGCGCTGCCCGCATCCAGGCTCTTCCCGCAGTTGGGGCAGGAAAGTTCTCGAGTGGCGACCACGGGCTGGAAAACGTAGCGTGGGTAGGCCTCCTACTAGGTGGACCGACGATCTGGTATTTATATGTATTTAGAAAATATTCGTTAATCGACATCGAAGTCGATAATAATAAGTGACTCTTCACATCGCCGTGTTTCTATGACATATTTTTTAGAGATTCCATTGTTGGACATAGGAACCTCTAAAAAATAATACCTAATATGCTCTATTTTACCCTTTGTCTTGTTGCATACAGCTTCTGTAAGCGACTTTTTGCAAGTCGTCTCTACACTTATCTAAGATATTGAAGTATTTAACTTTTAACAACGTGGACCGACCTCCTCATAAAGGTAGCAGAAAGGCGCTGCATGCAGGCCGCTACCAACCAGGTGATGTGGAAATCATTGGGAGAGGCCTATGTCCAGCAGTGCACGTCCTGTGGCTGAAATGATGATGAACTTTTAATAAATGAGGATGCCACTTAGGTAGTTATGGCCTTTTAAATAAATAAACGAATCCATTTCCAAGAAATTATTGCTAAGTATCTTATCTTTGTATTTTAAAAATCAATAGTCTGAGAACTTTTCATTAAATTTGACACTCTTCCGAATGCGATTTCATCATTCATTTAATTAAATCTTTAAGATTTATTTAGGGTTCATCATTTTCATCATCATCATTTCAGCCATAGGACGTCCACTGCTGAACATAGGCCTCCCCCAATGCTTTCCATGTTGATCGATTGGCAGCGGTCTGCGTCCAGCGCTTCCCTGCTACCTTTACGATGTCGTCGGTCCACCTTGTAGGTGGACGTCCCACGCTGCGTTTTCCGGTACGCGGCCTCCATTCCAGAATCTTTCTGCCCCATCGGCCGTCAGTTCTACGTACTATGTGCCCTGCCCATTGCCACTTCAGCTTGCTAATCCGTCGGGCTATGTCAGCGACTTTGGTTCATTTACGGATCTCCTCATTTCTGATTCGNGCTATGTCAGCGACTTTGGTTCATTTACGGATCTCCTCATTTCTGATTCGATCTCGCAAAGAAACACCAAGCATAGCCCTCTCCATAGCACGCTGTGCAACTTTGAGCTTCTGTATAAGGCCTATAGTGAGAGGCCACGTTTCCGAGCCATAAGTTATCACTGGTAACACACATTGGTTATACACTCTAGTCTTCAGGCATTGAGGTATTTTGGACGAAAAGATGTTGCGTAGTGTCCCGAACGCTGCCCAGCCGAGTTGGATTCGACGATTGACCTCCTTCTCGAAATTGGACCTACCTAGCTGGATCGTTTGTCCGAGGTAGACATACTTGTCGACAATCTCGATAATTGAGCTCCCAACTGAAACTGGGTAGGGCGTAACATGGACATTCGACATAAGCTTCGTTTTGTCCATGTTCATCCTCAGGGTATACATACATAGGTTAAAAGTTAAATACAGGTCATATTTAGGGTTAATTAACTAAATTACTTTGTAATCGAAAACAAATGTTAAATCCGATGACAAAGGAAAGCAAACCATGTTTTTTCACTTTTATATTTTAAGATAATTTTGTCTATCTTTCATCACGAATATTATTATGTCTCGAATACTATTAAGTACTCTGAAGTACCTATAGTTAGTCTGTCGGCAATTTTTAGATTAATGTGTTCCTAATAAATAACCCATTGATTTCAGATCGTAAAAACTGACCAATTGTCCCATGGCATGGTATAGATTGAAATAATATTCAAGGAAAAACAAATGAAAGGAGAATGTAAGCAGACAGTCAGTTAACGTATATCATGTTTATTAAAAAATTTAAAAGAAATGAGTGTAATAACTAAGTCTTTTAATTACATAATAATGCCATTTATTTGGTATTGCAACAACTTTACATTTAACTATTATAACATCGATTCATTTAACATTTTACATTAAATAATGCAAGTTTCAAACGCACATTAAACTATAGTAAATGACTTTTACATGAAAGTATCTGATAGTAAAGATTTTTACCCAGCCTTAAAAACTATCTCTCAGATACTTGCACTCCGTTAAATGTACTTAAATTATCTATTACATTAGAATTAGTGAATAGTTAAACTTCAAAGTAGAGTTTAGTGGTCAGTTCTTTTAAAATAAACGAGCCTAAATATAACGAAGATGCGAATATAATAATTTGTACGACTGTCAGCTAATTAAACTCAGTAAGCTACCACAATATGAAGAATTTCCACCATAGATTTTAAATTGTTCCCCATGTTGGAACCTTATATTTTATAGTTTAAATTCAACCGAAGAAATTGGACATTTTGTGGTGGCCTTATGGAGTTATAACGTCTTTTTTTCACCAAATTGAAGCTACAAAAGATTTAAAATAAGTAAATGTACCTCTAAGCGTATTTTGCTTTAAAATAGAAATAACTCTATTTTGAAATCTGAAGAAAAATATTCTTAGATAATTAACATTTTCATCTATTATAGTAAATACATAATTAAATATACTTTATAGTACGTATGATTAAAATTCATATACATTTATCAATGCACCACAAACTTAGCCTCATTTTAGAATCGTTAGCCGTTAGAAAACTGTGGGAGGAAGAATTTGGTCGTCTATGGAAAATAGATTTACAAAAAGCAACAGATTTGAGCCCAGATTAAAGGAAGATGAGTATAAGAATACGAAAAGTTATTTTCCATAGACAACGCTGTATCCATAAAAGTCGAACAGATGGAAAACAGCCTTAGAAATCCAAGCACTTTACCAGAACTAGATCCTAGTAAAATGCTTAGGAATTCTGACCATAGATAAAATCACATTACGCTTGACAGTCGTGGCAGTACGCATCTGCGGAGCGCTTCCTTCTTTCTTCTTCTTCCATTTCACCCTTATCCAGCTCCTCATTGTCACGGCCGAGTCTGATGAAGTGGTCTCGCGCTCTGCTTTTCCTCTGAGGGTATCCGCTGACGACCAAATCCGAGGTCTGTTCGTAGGTGGCCTTGTCGTCTTCTGCAGACCTGCCTAGCCTGATGAAGCTGGGGCCTCTTCCGAAGCGGAGGAAGCTGGAGGAGCGCTTGTCAGGGGTATCGTAGTCTTCGTCGTAGTTTCTGAGGAGGGTGAACAGGTCGTCGGCTGTTAGAGCGAGAGGCTGCGATCTTCCGAAGCGGAGGAAGCTGTTGCCTCTTCGGGAGGGGCGGGGGAGGGTGTCTCTGATGTCAGCTGCCGATGGCTCTGGGGGGTACGATCGGCCGAATCTGGGGACAAGATATTTTATTAATATTGAACAAGTCTATTTTTCGTCCCAGAATTTATGTATGAAGCAGAATTGTCAGTTATTACGACAGTAACGTACGAGGACACTATGACGTTCGCAGTCTTCATTTAGCAAATGGGATTCTAAAAGTTTATTATTCACATCACAAAATTGTCTCTGTATGTAAATTACTAAATTAACGAGAAAAGGAGAGAAGTTACAGAATATAAGAAAACCTTTCTATTCAAGCGGACTTTAATGTCTAATCATCACTCGCAAAATCGCAAGTTAGTGTCTTTTTTCAAGTGACCCCAAATGGAAGATTAAGTAACCTGTATTAATAATTGAGGTGATTGAAGACGGTGAGGAAGACAGTGGGCGGGAGTTTGCATCGTGCGGTCCACACAGCTTATGACCGCAGTCTGTGGAGGAACACTATCTGTGGTCGCGATCCTCATCAGTAAGGAACCGAGGAAGAAGAAGAAGAAGAATTAATAATGCGTGTAAAAATTGCATTGTAGGATCGCTTTACCTGATCATACTGCGGTCGATGGCGCTCCTCCGTCTAGCCTCCAGGTCTGGAGAGCGCCGCACCGGCGAGGCGGTAGACCCCACCACAAGCCACACGGCTGCCAGCACCACCACGCTCTTGGAGTAACTCTTCATGATTGAGGATCTGGGGACAAACGGTGAGATTAGGCACTACTGGTAGAAGATAGAAATACGTCGCTTGGAAACTTAGACATGTACACAATGAGGGCTATCGTTTCAGCGCTCACCAGTTGGCGCCACTGTAGAGTAAGGTCACTGTCATTTGCTACTGGCGAAGACAGCGGCGCCAACACATAAACAACACTGGATAGAAGTAATGGAATAAGTTAGAAAAGATTGTACTTAGTCAGTTATTATTGTTAGATAAAATAACCACCAATCCATAATGACAATGACTATAAAATATTTATTGGCAAATATTCTATTTAACAGAGCATTTATTAGTTTGACCAAATTTTTCCAATTTGAAATTTACTGTCACCTAATATATCCTGCTTGGCAAAGCATGGCCTTGGTTCTGGACTTGGCTGAATTCCAAGGACACTGTCCAGAGATACTATCACATGAAAAGAAATAAAGTTAATACTGTAACTAGAGCATAAACATGGCACTCAAAGGAAATGGAAATTGATAAATTAAAAATTAATTAATCTAATTTGTTATGCCTGTTGTAGTCTTAGGCAGAGACATTAATTAGTACTTAATAATAAGTATATTAAATAGAAAACCAATGGTAGGTATCTTATTCATAAGTGATTTCATTAAAAGCACTTTTACGTCCCAGTATTATTTTAATCCTAACACTACTTCGGGTCAATATATGGGCCAGTGCTAAGAAGAAGCAGCGCAAGAATCTCAGTCACCTTTGCCAGTCAGGTAATTATTATATGTAGTTAGTAAGTAGCTTATGATAAATTCAATCTTTGTGAAAAAATTGTTTATATCATCCGGCCAAATAACCAGTTCAAAGCCAAAACATACAATGTCACATGTGCAAATAAATATTCGTGAGAACGCTCGCCCGCGCCCGTGACCGGCCATGCGGGGCTTCGCGAAAGCAATCCCAAATACTTTACACACGTCTACGATTAGGTAGTGCTGACTAATAGTATGTTTTTGGCCGAAATAAAAGCCGAAAAAATAACCCACGGCCAACCAATATCATCATCATTTCAGTCATAGGACGGTCAATGACTGGTTGATAGCGGCCTGCATCCAGGCGCCTTCATGCTATCTTTATGCTTTAACTACGAGTATGATCCACTTTATTTTAATAATACAATTTTAGCCGAAATGTAAGCCCAAGATAATGATTGTGTAGGTACATACGACGGCACATCAAGTTACACACTGTAGCCTATAAAGCACTTCTAAAAGGAGTGATTTTACACCAAAAATGTATCAGACTGATGTGCTATCGTCTGTACACCGTCTTAACTAATGTCAAGATAATAATATCAGGCTCTAACACTAACAAGATGGTGAAACTCGATAGCTTCAAGCTAATCAGAGGCTTGAGTTAATTTTTATGCTTAGATATTTGAACGTCGCGACGCGTTGTTTAGTAGGGCGGACCTCTGAGTTGATTTGTTTTGATTAAAAATTAATCTGCCTGGTCTATTTCAATCATAACTGTGGACTACCTCTGGTTAATTGTGGATAAAGTTTTTACTAATTACTTTAGTTTCGTCCAAACTTCGAATAACTTTACGAATGTGTATAAATAATTGAGCGAAGCGAAACGATACCAAAATGTCACAACACTACGTTCAATTAGATGAGTGATATACAATTTTTTGGGTGTCCTTTTAAAGATTAAACCTCCTATTCCAAACTAGTGGTTTGACTGGACCAATGCAATTACCCTCTATTCATAGATGCGATACAAACATTTTGCGTGAATGAAAATGTTTAATTTTCACGGCAAATCCTTTATTACCCTGCTCTCTATCTATGTATTTTGAGTTCAACACCATGATTGATTTATTAGAAAGCAATATCAAAACGATTTTATAACGAAATCAATCATTATTATTAAATCAGTTTGTAACAACGAAGACGAATGAAGGACAAACAACTTTTCTTAATCAAAACGATTAATTTGATTTGATTACATTTTAATAAGTCAAAAGCATGTCATTTTAAGATATCTCTTTAGGTGGACCTAATTTTATATCTAAAAATGTCATCAACTATCAATTAAGTTAAATTTCGATTAAAATTGATTATGAAACTTCAGCTTTGTCGTCTTACAGAAAATGTTAAAATGAGACTGTATTCAAAAGCATGATTAGCATTTAGACCAATTATGTAAGTTTTGCTTAATACCTAGGTAATATCATTATACCTAGAGCATTAAGGCTGGGTTGCACCATCTTACTTTAACTTTAACAAACGTCAAAAAATATCAAACTCCATACAAAAAATACCGGTTATAGTTAGTCAAAGTTACGGTCAAAGTTAGGCGGTGCAACTCAGCCTACAAATTTTAAATCCACCTGTTGACTACCTGAAAATGTTCAGTTAAACAGCGGTCTATTATAGTAGCAGTAGCAATTCTTTAAGTTTGAGATTAGGATAGAAAAATAAATTAAGAATATTGCAAACATTCCGATTGAAAGTTTTCATTTATTTTTTTGTACTTGCTTTCACCGTTTAAGTTTCTCTTACACCCTGTATAATCGATATTACGATATTAGCAGAGTCACAAAGCCTTTGTAGAACGCAAGGCCGCGGCCGCAGACGCGCCGGCGCCACTCGGGAAGCTGTAGTGATGTAGACAGTTATCGATTCAAGTTATATGCAACTATCGATACAGCGTTGAATAAAAACTGCTACTGACTTTGACGTTAGTGAGCTATCTATGTACTTAGGTATCTACGTATCTACGTACAAATCTTGCAAAAAAAGATAACATTATTTTATATCTGACTAGACACCCGCATGAAATTTAGTTTGTCACTGATCATCATAAATTATAGCCTATGTGTTATTCTGGGTTATAAACAATAATACTGTAAAGTTTCATCAAAATCCGTACAGTAGTTTTTGCGTGAAAGAGTAACAAACATCCAGACATCCATACAAACTTTCGCATTTATAATATTAGTGAGATTCCCTTCATAATTGGTGGGCAATAATTTTAAGGTCTACTGCTCACATACTCACAAATATCACGTCAATGATTTTCATTTAAGTTGTAAAACTATTCTGAGATCTAAATACGAAACCCCATTCCCGTTAGATGCATTTATTTAACCCTCAATTTGCATGGTAGGTCCCAGGGACTCCATGTGAAACTGTTTTGGTTCATAATTTTTTTCAATACGCGAATAAAGTGCTGTGCGCTTGAGTAGCTTCCTTTGGTGTCGTGGCCAACTCGGGGGCGAGAGGTCGTCTGCGTGCGCATCACAGAAAGTTGAGTAATTGACACTTGCGGAGTCCCGTGGACTCCACCATACACTTTTCGTAGCAAAAAACTGTATTATGATATTATGTTTTTTTTTAAATTATGGTTTATTTACGGTTTGAGTGGATCAAAAAAGCATCAAACAGTCACAATACATGCTTTATCTATACGTTAGATGCAAATGAGGCCTCAGATTGAGGGACTGGCAAGAAAGTCTAGAAGAAAATGCAGACGATGAAGAAAAAGAAGAGGATTTTACATCTTATGTCCCGAAAGATTTGTTTTGATGATTTTGTATTTTGATGATGTGTTTTGATGATTTATAAGAAAGACTGCTTATTTTGAAATTCATTTCACAAAAATATGCTTGTATTGTTCGAAAAAGTTTGGCAGGCAATGTGCTGCTCGTAGTAGTTACTAAGCCATTGCACGTTTTTTCGTGTTAATTTTTTTCTAACATTTTACATATTATTTATCAAGAAGACTGTTATGTCCACATAATTTAGAAAGAAAAAAAAATTTGGTTAATTTTTTTTCTAAGTTTAAGAGGTACAAAATGCCTATGTCGATTTTTAAGTGATTTTTACGACTTCATGAAAATTTTATTTTTTAAATGAATTTTAATTAATGTTTCCATTTCTGTTGTTTCTAATTCATAGTATATTAACCATATTATGTTACCAAATAAATAATATATTACTTTTATAAGTATTATAGCCTGACCAGGAACATAAAAACCCTCGCCATGTTGCGGAAAACTAATGGTACTAATTTCTTTTAATGGCAACAGTAACTGAAAACTTCATTCACATGTCACCATGCATGTCAGTCTATTGTTGTCAAAGTGTAAACAAACTTTATTTTAAATGTGTGCAATTGATTTCGTGAATTAAATTGCTAAAATATTTTTATAATCGTGAAAGAAAAGTGGTTCACGATGTGTTAATGTATTTGTCGAAGAGAAATACTAAGGGTTCGGACAATATTTTCATTGAATAATGTTTCCGACAAAGGTTGTCAAATTGACTGACATGTTTATCGTATGGTACAGTCCACTATGAAAATTAGCTGTAGTCTGTTTCAACTACCTATTTTAAAGTTTTTGTCACTTTCTAAGTTTTGAATTTTATGGAATTGGGAAAGAAGTACCGAGTTTGAAGCGTTCATGAGCAGACATTGCAGTTGAATATTCATGTTCTGAATTTGATTATTGATGAATAATAAAATAAATCCTACTAGCTCGATTGATGGTTTCATTTAATTTATTTAAACCAGGTTATCTTTAATAATATTTTTCGTTAATTTATGAAAATATCAAATTAGCCCGTAATCCTGAATCCTGATACATAAATTTAGCCTATTAATTTAACACATGTACGACTGTACTCAGTGTTGCACTATCAAATGCAATTGAAGCGCCTCTGTGCCAGGGTTTTTATGTTCCTGGTCAGGCTATAGTATATTTTTTCTTCATTTGAAATATGGAGTCCCTGGGTCTCCACCTTACACTTAACGTAAGTTTTAGTCACCATGCAAACTGAGGGTTAAACTTAGTTAATTAATTAATATTTTTATCTTCAAACATCACTAGACTTCGAGTTACTTTATGTTAACCTACAGTTTTCTATTCGCTAGCAGATTTTCCAACCAAGTTCAAGGCGCAGAGTTACTATTCTATTCTTACAAAATAAATGAAACGTGTAGATTTTTGATAG